ATAACATTTTCTATTTCAGATCATTTGTTTATAGTACTAGAATAGTTCATTACCACCCGAGACAGGTTTTTCCAAACGCGACAGCTTTTTCGCATGACTGTAATTTAATTTTTTTCTTATTAATTTTTAAATAAATAAATATTTATTATGAAAAAATCAAATTGCTTAGCTTTCTATAAAATATTATGCTACTTTCGTTTATAAAACCCTTTTCGAATAACAATTTTAGTATTTAATTGTTATTATTAAAACTAATCTAGAATGTCAAATAAATTGAAAAATGAAAAAATTTGATGTTATATCTTTCATATACATTGTTTATGTGTTGATCATTGTTAGTTTAAATTCTAACATACTGAAATACTTGTTTTGAATGTCAGTCATTGGCTCAACAATAAAAACAAAAGACTGATTATTCAAACAATAAATATTAAATAACAATAAATTAAATAATTTATTTTAAAATGTTATAAAATTCGAGTCATTATCAATAGTTTTTAATTTGTAATTTAATATTCAAATAATTAAATTTTAAACTTAAAAAACAATGGTTTATATTTTATTGTTTTTAAGTCTTTGACTTGTGTTGTTTAAAATAGATTATTTACCACACAAACAAAATAATTATAAAATAACATTTTATAGTATATTTTATAATAATTTATAAATACTCAACTCAAACAAAGATGAAGATTATATGTGACAAATGTGATGTTTGAATTTTTAATTTAAAAAAATAATAATGTTTAATTATTAGAACATTCTATTAATATAATAATTTATGTTTTTGGATCTTAAAATATGACCACAATTCACAATATTAAATTTGTTTTATAGAAGTGGTATTGAAAAAGCATTAAAATTTTATTTAATATTTTAATAATTATTGTTTTTATATGAAATTAAATGAATGAAATATCCATTTTTCACAATAATATTCATGTTATTATTAGGTGTACATTACTATTTAAACTCGAGTCATTATGAAATATACATCAAATGATTTCCATCATTCTTATTGCATTTGTAGCTCAAGCAGAATATCTTATGACCACGGATAATGAATACATGAATGTCTATCTTCTTGATAAGTGTTATTATACTGGAGGCAACACTTATACTAAATATGTCAGAGAAGACAAAAAAGCCAAAGGTTACACATCAACAACTTGTGGTAATTGGCATGATGAGGGTTCTTTTGATCTTGAGAATGGTCAGTCATTTGTTGATAACCTTCCAGAATATTCAGTAGTTGTTTATTCATACATTGATGCTAAAGACTGCAAAATCAAAGAAAGTGAAGCAAGACCGATAGAAATGCTTCTTAAATCTGGCTGTATAAAAACTTCAGAAACAACTTCAACAAAAACGGAAATTAAAGATGGAAGATTTATGAAAAATGATTATGATGCATCTAACAGCTGTACTGGAACTCCATCAAATATCATCAACAAAGAAATGGACAAATGCTTCACGGATATCGACGGCTTTTATTACACCGCCAAAGACTCTGCTGTGACTTTTTCAGTGTTCATGGCATTCGTACTGGCTTTTCTATTTTAATTAAGTTTTAGATAAATTGTTATTTTATAAAAATATATTGTGTTTTAATATTTCACAAAAACAGTTTAGAATCAAATCATTTTATGTTTTTACTTGTTAATTTGAGAAGATAGACAAAGTTTTATAAAAATGAGCAATTAACTCTGATGTATTTAAAATGAAAAATATGGATAGATAGTTTTTTCTATATATACCTTTATATATTTATTGTTAATAACAACAATTAAGAAAAAAAGAAGAAAACTAGTCAATTATATTTTCATTTTTATTTTACCTATTTTTATATTATATATTTTAATACACATTACTGAAAAATATGTTTGTTTGATCAAATTGATAATTCCATTTTAACTATAACACAATACATATTGATAAATATTATTTTTTAACTAATAATATATGATATAAATTACAAAACAACAACAAATTGTTGAATTAATCAGTTAACTTTACGAAATAATAACTGGATAGATTTTATCTCTGTTTATGTACAAAAACAACAAATCACCTTTTTCTTATTGTATTTTAACTAAAAAGATCTTAAATTAAGAACGGTGTGTCAATTTCCAATTTGAATTATAAATGATTGTTAAATTTCGAAGCGTTTTAATGGAAACTTTAATGCACGTTTTTAACAAGTGTTGACCATTTAGAACAAGTGGAAATTTTAAAAAATGAAGACCATTAGTTTGCGCGAAAACTAATCGATTTCTTGTTTTTGAGTTTGTTTTTAATGTTTCTAAAATAAACTGTGATCTTGAAAAAACTTACCCATTTTTTACATTTTCACATAAAAGTTGATTCAGTTGACTTGCTAAGGCTAAGTTAGAAGACAATACTTTTTAATGTAGAACTGTTATTAAAAATCAAATCATTATTCTTACAAGACCAATCATTATAGCTTTAAAAACTATTTACAATATCCCTGTTTACAAATTTTACATTATCACAATCTAATTCAAAATACGCAATGAATTGGATAACCAAAAATATAAATTGGTATAAATGCGATTTTTTAAACTTTTTTTTTGTTTTTGACTTGCCATTTAATAATTGTTTTTACCTATTTTTTTCACAAACAAAAATAAAGTCCTTTCATTCCAATTAGATAAATTTTCTCAACAAAAAAGCTGTAAGACAGACTTTTTATAAAAATTTAAAATAGATTCATTTACAAATTTAATAGATAATTAATCAACAAAATAACTATTGTTTATAGAAAAATTGATAAATGACAAAAATAAAATTGTTTTGTCATTTTTATATTTCTAACCACATTTTTATAATCAAATTGTTTAAAAAAATATTATTTTTAAATAAACAATTAATAATGTTTAAAACATTAGTAAAGGTTTTTTATTTTTTTTAAATATTATAATGAAATAGTTCGAAAATTAAAACCAAAAAATATTGAAAAGGTGGAAAAAAAAACAAACAAACATTCTACTCGAAATTTTATTTTTTTGAAAAATTGCTTTGTTTTAGGCTAAAAATAATTATAAGAGTTTGCTTAATTAACAAATACAATTATCAAAAAAACAAATTGTGTTGTTACCCAAAAATTGTTTTCTTAATAAATATTAGTAGTTTAATTAATAAAATAAAAATAAAAAAAAGATAAAACATAACTTTTTTTGGTTAAAAAATATAGTTATTTTAAAAAAAACAAGGCATAACGATGTAACAAGTCTTTCCAACATTGTTTGTTGACAAAAATGATGCAAAAATATAAAAAAAGATAAATATAAACAATAAAATGAAAATAATATAAACTACACTATTTTTATTTGTTTTCAATATTATTTCGTTGATAAATACAATTTATTAAATTGTTGGTTTGAATTTTTATGATAAACACTTAAAAATCAATGCCAAACATTGTCTCTAATACAACACCTTCTGAATCTATTGATATGCCACAAAAAATACAACCTGAACAAAACAAAGCGACAAACCAATTTTTTAATACTATTGCACTTTTAAGAGGTGTTTGCTCTGTTATGATAATGTTATATCATTTCGCAGAATTCAATCCCTTTGCTAAAAAGTATTTCTTTAGCCATAGTTACCTCGCAGTTGATTTCTTCTTTCTAGTATCTGGATTTTTTGTCTCTTATACAAACAGAAGGACAAAAGACTACAACTTTATAGTCAAAACGCAAAGTATTTTAAAATCAATTATTTACACCTTTTGGCAAAAAATAAACCAACTATTTCGATTCAAAAATTTGGCAAATTCTTTCAAAAATGAAAACATGGAAATTGTTATTAATGATACAGTTGACTTGTCTTCATCGGAAAACTCAAAAAACTCTTCTCAAGTAAACAGTGAAGAAAATGGTAATAAAATAAACGATAAAACAGATCAAAATGACATTCAAACGGTAAACGAAAATGTAACTGACAACACTACACTTAAAATAGAAAACAAAATGTTATTTGAAAACAATTGCAAAAATGAAAAGATTGAAAAATGTCAAACACAAAAACCGAATGTTTTTAATCCATTTAAATTCCTTTTGCGTCGAGCTGTTCGACTTTTCCCCATGCAATTGTTCAGTACAATTATGGCTTTTACCTCGTATACTTCCTTTTACAGTTTGAGTTTCGGTAATTTTGTTCTGTGTTTTTTATTGAACACTTTTGCCATACCAAATTGGAATTACAGATACACATTTAATCCCAATTTAGTCATGTGGACCATTTTTTACGAATACGTTTATGCTTTGATATATGCATTTTTCTTAAAATACATTCATATTGTGTTGATGATATTTGTTGATGTCGTGTTTTGTTTACTATTAGTTTTGAGTCAACTTCATGTTTTAAAATTTAGTTTTTGGCAAGAAACTATGTCTTTTAATATGGGATATAGTTTATATGACAGTGGATTGTTTGTTGGATTCACACGTGCTGGATTTTCATATGTGAATGGAATTGTGTTTGAATTTCTGATCTCAAAATTACAAATATGGTGGATGAAAAAGTACAACAAGAAACTAGAAATACCGTTTGGTGCATTTATTTGTGTTTTGATTGTTGTTATTTCTTTTGTAATAAACGTTCAAAATATAAATGGAATGCTTGATAATGTTTACTGTTTAATGTGTGTATGTGTTGTGTATCCACTTGTCCTCATTGTGGCTACTAACCACGAAATACAAAATCCTGTTATTAAAAAATTGGCGATATTTGGTGGAAATGTGTCGTACCCACTGTTTGCATTACATTATACGTTTATGCAATACTTAGCCGAGAGAAATATAGTTAATATAAATAACACGGAATTGGTGAAATGGGTTCTTTATTTACAAATGTCATTTGTCGTGTTTGTCTTTTCTTGTGCTGTACAAATTTACTATGACGAACCAATTCGGATATATATTTCTCGAAAATTATTCCAAAAAAAATAATTTAACTCTTTAAATATTATTTAATGTATTATTTATAATTAAAAATAATTGTGCCATATTATTTTACTGGTTATTTCTTTTTAAATGATGCTTTATAAACACAAAATAGTCATTGTTAAGTGTAGACAAAAGTCATTGGGTACAATATTAAAACCCCAAAAACAATAAAATATATTATTTAAATTGTTTCTTGTCATGTCTTGTTAATAATGCTCCTGAAAATAAAATATAACAACAATTATAAAACATGTGTATATTTGTATTACACAATCACTCTATTTATAATTTAAAAAATACCTAAACATTCACTTATTTCTTTTTCTTTTGTTCCAAGAGTGTTGAAACTTCGAGTAACTCATTTTCCATTCTCTGAATTTCCTTCTCGACATTAAACACGAACTTTTCTTCTCCTTGATTAATTTTGATTGTTTTAAAATTCTCAAGTACAATCACTGCGTCGATATTTTCCTCCGTTTCGAATTTGATTCTTTTGAGTGCCTTTCCATTAAACGTGAAGAAAACGGTTTGGTTTGTGATGTCGTACGCGCATCCCACGACGTTCGTCTTATTCTTAGTGACTCCAAAAGCCGGTCCATATTTCTTTCCGTTTCCGTCTCCTTTAAAGAGATATCCGTCGTCTCCGTGATACCCCACGGACCCATCAGTCCACCCGACATGTGTTGTATCTCCGGTCATGAATGTGTCGATGAACTCGTTCATACACAGACCAAAAGAGAAGAGGGAGACTCCTTCTGTACTGATTTCAAAGTATCTCAACAGAGCTGGAAGGACTTTAACTCCGGTTTCTGTGACGACTTTCATTTGAGTTGGTTGCGTTGCACTATAAAATTGTTCCATAATAACAACATCGTATGTCTCTTCTGGCGGTGTAACAAGTCTCGTCACTCTATTATTGATGAGGGAAATGCGCTTCGACCGCGTCTGGAATCCATGAGGGAAAATGTACTGTTTCAAGTCACTGACGTACTGACTCAAATTATCATTCGGAAATTGGACAACAGAAGACATGATGAACAGAAAATCGTCATATGGAATTTGGCCGTTGGTGACGTCGTTGTGCTCAGTGTCTGCAAAACACGGAGTTATTACATTAGTTTCTTCTTCGCTATTTTCCTCGTCTTCGTCATCTTCTTCGTCATCTTCATTTTCATTTTCATCATCTTCACTGCTGTGAGCAACTATTTTTGTGTCATTTAAAGTGAGTGAATTTTGTCGTTGTAAATTGTTAACATTTTCATTGAATTCATCGTCAGAATTACTTGAAGAATTATCATCAGAATTATCACCATCATTTCCCGTTGTAACAGGAGGGTAGATGTCTTCTATTGTCTTTGTATTTGAAAAGAAGACTTCCTGTGAATTTTCAATGTAAACGTCCATCTTTGTTATCGGCATTATCGGTAAAATACAGCAGTACATCCCATTCAACTTGATTTGTGTCCTTTCCGGGATGTTTCCAATAACAACAATATGGTCGCACATATACAAGTCGATTTTTTTCAAAGTATTTGTATTTAAAACGACTTGGACTTTCGACATAAAAAACGCACTGATTTCCTCCAGTTTTTCAAAAGTTGGGAGCTTCCCATTTACCTCCAAAATTTTGATATTACCTCCTTCTCCAATTTGTAGTTCTCTGAGGTCAGTGGTGTCGATTTTAAAGATCGTGTTATTGAAATTCGACACAACAAATTTCCTGAGTTTTCCATTGATGCTAAAAGTGACTTGTTGTTGTTCTTCGTCTTCATCATCTTCCTCCTCATCGCTTTGGAAGAGTGACCGGATCTCGAGTGTTTCGACCATCTTTGGGATTTCAATTACAATTTCCTTTTTAACAGATTTAGACGTAAGATAAAGAGTGATTGACGACACAACAGCCTTCTCAAGAAACTCCTCAAAGATCTCCAAATTTGTTGAGTTTTGAACGTCGAGTGTGTTATTCAAGCACATGATTTCTCCATGAAAACGACTATAGTCATTACAATACTGCGTGTCAGCAAGTAAATACATGAACCTAAAGACACTCCCAATGTTCAAAAAGACGTCTTTGTCCTTTGGAAATTCCTTCATTAAGACGGTGATTGCCATCTCGTCGTTCATGCGAAGATATTTTTTAAATTCCTCAATTTTCGTTCGCGTCTCCATCGTTGCTTCAATCGGCCTGTCGTTGCACGAAAACAAAGAAACGGTCTTTGGGAAGTTGACGTTCATTTCTTTGCCGTCGTTCGTGTAATTTTTGTAGAACTTCAAAACCTCAGCGAAGTCGCCGCGGACTTCCTGTAAGTTGGAGAACTCCGTCGCGTGGGCAATACAAAACTTTGCCGTCAAATCTTCTTCGCCTATTAGAGGGTCATACCCGTTTAACTGTAAACAAGTCACTTTCTTAAGAACAAATAACATCATTTTCTCATCTACTGTTTTGTTTTGAATGATTTCATTAATATTCGGATATTTGATGCAATGGACTGACGCGTATATATTCGGCTGATTTAATGCCATTGCCTGCAATTGATTGTATCAGGAGTAAAGTGTTTGAAGAACCATTCCATCGAAGGTTCATTGACAAAGTCCGGGTTCACCTTTAATGCACTTACGACATCTAAACACTTCTTGTTGATTTGCATAAATTCGTAGACGTCGGCTTGTGTGTTAAAACGAGTCACAACGTCCATCAGAAAAATTAACTCAAGACGAGTGGTCATGTTAAGTGTGTTTGTTTTTAATAATTTGGTGTTTAGGGTTTAAATATTTATCAAAATTGTATTAGTTTTATAGTTTTATTTATTATTTAAATATAATACAGTTATTTTGGTTTAACCCTGGTGTTTTATTCAATTTATTCATTGCGTTCACAACAACTTTTAACACATTCAATTTTTTATAACAACAAACAAAATTATATTAAAAAATAGTCAGACAGACTTCAGTGCCTCTCATCTCAGAGTGTTGTGCACGCACTCGACCCCTCAACAAGCAGTTCATCGTGCATTGCTGCGTATCTCCCTTTGGCACTAAAGTAATGATAAGTCTTCATCCTATTTTGTGAATTCTATTTGTTACATAGAAAGTGACATACTCTAAGAATGATCCTAGTCGTACGGTCTAATTCATTTTTTCTTTTTTCTTATGTGTATATTATTTGCCAATTTTAATTAATTATGGGTTTTATTTATATTTATATAGTTTTATTAAATAGTTTGAAAGTGTCATTTAAAAAAAATATAAAGAAACTATTTGAAATATAATTATAATATTTATAAAATAATAATATAGTTATATATTAGTAAAATTAAAACTATTATCATTATAATTAAATAATAGTAAATAATTTACTAAGAATTAAAATAGATAATTATAAATATAATATTATAATATTATAATATTATAATTCATTAAAATTTATTTTTATCTTTTGAAAAAAAAGTAAAAATCATTCGCTAAATCATTTAAAACACTAATGGAAAACCAAAAACATCAAATATTTCAAACATCCGAAGAAGATGATTGTTTTAATGACAAAGAAATTATGGAACGTTTAAAAGAAAATTATAGTGAAGATGACGATGACGATGAAGGTGAAGGTGATTTTGATGAAAACGAAACTTGTGAAGACCAAGACGAAAAAGAAAAAATTGAACAAAAAGAAAATGAAGATAACACCAATGAAACTGACTCAGTTATATTAAATCAGTGTAATGACGATTTTTTACAAAACGAAGAAAAAGAAATAAAAGAGAGTGTAATACAAGTTGCTCAGGATAAACAACACGCGAAATCTTATATTGAAAAAATCCATAAGAAAAATTCTTTTTCTGATGGAACTTTGGTTGATGGAGGTGTTCAAGGCTCTTTACTGGAACCCACAAATGACAATCAAATTGTGATTTCTTGTTCGGATGAAAACGATTTAGAGAAAAAAATAAACAAATATACACTATTTATTAATCAAGAAGAAATTACTACAGAACACACAAAAGACATTTTTTACAGAACAACTGTTGTTCTTGCAGAAAATGTTAAAATCTTAGGGAAGAACACATTTAAAGATTGGAGTTGTTTAAGCACTTTCATGCAAAGGGATGCATATCTTATGTGGGGGTTTTATTCAAATCCAGAAAAAGTCGAAGAAATATACATTGGAAATGGTATCACCTTTGTGGGGGAATCTTGTTTCCAGGGTTGTATAGCATTGACCAAATTAGTAATACCTGCGTCTGTGAAACAAATTGAAATGAATGCATGGGAAGGATGCAGTAATCTAACACAAGTGGATTTCCAGTCATCCAACACTATTGCCACAAAGTGCTTTGGTGAGTGCGAAAAGGTAAAAGCTGTTAGATTCAAAATCGATAACTCGGCAAATGCAATGGATATTTTTAAAAGAATTAATGGAGCAGATTTATTCAAAAAAAAGAATAATTGATGAATTAAAAAACAATTTTTGAATTGGTTATATTGGTTGTTAATAGTTGTTATAATTTGTTGGTATTGACTTAACAACAATATGTATATTGCTGTGAGACATAATATTCTCGCAAAACAATATTTATGAAACAAATATTATAAACTTTAAATTATACACAATTTAAAGTTTTTAATACCAGAAATATGATTGTAATAACACACATACAGATGGATATATTATTAAATTTGTAAACTAAAAGTAATTCTAAACGAGATGATTAATGGTTTAAATGTTGTATTTTAAAGTTTGGGTTTAATGTATCAATAATAATATATAATATGTTTGCACTTTTTATTATTTTGTATGGTTACAAATTATAAGTTTAACACTTAATAATTTAAATTTAACATTTTGTTATACAAACTATTATAATACTGATGTTGTGATAATGTTAAGTATTTTTTTAAAACGGTTTTTCCATTTTAATTATGAAAAAAAGCAGTGATGTTGTTTTAATACAATAGATTTATTTTGTATGTTGTTCTAAAATTTAACGATAGTTAAGAAAAATAATTTGTAAATATATCTTATGTACATATTATATTCAACATATAGTTGTTAAGTGAAAACACTTAAGTTCACAGTTTTGCGCAACTAATACAAAAGTATTTTATTATTTGTAATAAACATTAAAATTCAATACAATATCAACGTTTTCACATAATAATTACAAAACATTTACTATATAAATTAAATTAAAATTATTAATTATTTATTTTATTAACCTTATTTATCGACAAAAATAGGTTATAATTTGAGTTATTCAGTTTTGTTTTTAAATTTATTTTGTTTATTATAAATTTAAATTTTATAAAATTTATAAATTTTAGTTTTTTCAATCAAAACAAACATAAACAGTTTGATCAATTTATTTTTTTTGCAGACAAAGCATAGTGCGTACAAACAACAAGGGAATTTAACAACAAACTACTTCATTTTTATTAAAGAAATTGATGACGATGAGATAAATTATAAACAACAAGAACAACTTGATTGATAGACTCGAACATCGAATCGTAGTTTTAGTCACGCAAAATTTGCTTTTGTGATATGGTCTTGGCTGTGCAAACGCCGCTTTACTTTTTAATCAGTTTATAAGAATGTTGCAAAGTTAAAGTGCCTTAACACTTTCATAACCCAAAAGTTTTTTTAAGAAGAAAATAAGTAAAAAGGAAATTGTCCAAATCATTTTTTATTATTTTTTATTTCAAAACCCCTTTCTAACCCAAACCGGCCAATAGTCAGTTTTATTTTACTTAAAATAATTCAAAAATGAGAACTCAATTACCTAAGATTGATCAAAAATAATCTTTTTGGATGAAATTTCATATCACTTTATTGTGTTACGACATTAAAACAAAAAACGCTACATCGTCAATCCACTTTATGACAAACAACGTCAAATAGTCACATTAACAAATATGACGACAATATAAACACCAATATCGTTACAATCAAATGACAATATACTTTTTATATAAAAACAACCAAATATATTATATCATTAGACCCCATCTTTCTTTCTAATGCTTTGTTCTTGTTTAACACAAATAAACTCATTCATGTTTATTTGTGTGACTATAAAATATACAATTCAAATTTGAGTCGATAAAAAAAATAAATAAAAAATTTCAAAAATTTGTTTTGTGTATGAAGGCAAAAAAAGGGTTTAGGTAAAAGAAAAAAATAAAAACTTATTATTATTACGTTTCTGTTTTGAACGTGTTAATGCGAAATTTTTCAAGTCTGTGATGCCAATAAACTCGGGTTGTTAGAATTATTTTCCCGTTATTTTGTTCGATTATATTATTAAATCAACTATATTTATTCACTTTTAGATGTTTTAAAATGATTGGTCAAATGGGTTAACCATTATTTATGTTATTAGTTGTGTTATTGGTTATATGGTTTTTATATAATTATATTTATTATATTTTTTATGTTTATCTTTTTTGTAGGTTGGAATATTTTCATTAAAAATTGACATAAAAATAAATAAGGTTAATGGAATAAATAATGTTTATAAACAGACTTTAAAATTTTATTTAATACAATTTTTTTTATAGTTGTAAAACGTTTAAAGAGTTTATGCATTATTACACTATAATATACACGCCAAATGAATAAGATATAAACGAGTTTACTTTTTGGAAATATTTAGTCGTGAAAGGGTTAAATAACAAATCAAAATATGTAAAATTGACCATTTAAATCTTTTAGGTAAACAATTAATTGTCTTCTTTCTGTGTAAATAAGGTATCAAGAAAAAAACAACATAAAAAAATACTTAAACAAAATTATAATTTTTATTTTTTTTATAATATTTTGAATCAAAAATACCATATTACATAAAAAAATTAGTTTTTCATTGTTTTTAACCAATTAGAAGCAATTTAAATTATAACATTTCATAAATATTGAAAAGTTCTAATTTTGATTTGGTGACCATTTTTATATGTTGCCAAACTTTAGTTTAAACATGATAATGTTAAAATAATGATTATGTTGTTCAAGATACATTAAAAATGAGTAGCAACGTTTTTTTTAAAATATAGTTAAATTAATTAATAATAACAATATTTTTTTGTACTCTGAATTAACATTAAAATAAAATATTTGGTCAAAACTAAATGTTTTTCTATATTAAAACACAATATAAATATAAATAAAATCAAGATTACCAAGATTAAAAATTGTTTATTTTATTTAAATATATAATTTTAATAAATTATCATACTTGTGTTATTTGTTTTGATTAAAACGTTTAAATAGTGATTTTTAGATAATTTTTTTTGTCTGATAATATTGTATAAAAACAATAATATTTAAAATTTGAACTTTGTAAAGTACTAATTATAAACATATATATATATATGTACATAAAAACTACATCACTCCATTTTTTAATTTTAATTATTTTTATATGTATTGTTACTTCTCAGACTTGCAGTTTTTCAAATACGATATTATCACCAATTACAGTCTCTGAAACGTGTACAACATCAAACAACATTGTTATCGGTAATATGGCATCTTCATTAATAATTAAGTTCGAACTGATATATAATGCAGATGTTCAAATTAAGGGAAATGTGACTTGTGTAAGTAAAAGTGCAATTGTTCTTAGTAATAATTCAAAACTGAATTTAACACAATATGTTTATTTTTATGATACATCACAATTTATCATGAATGACAATACTCATTTAATAACCGACAACAAAATTTATTTCCAGGAGCGTTCCCGTGCTATATTTCGTGGGTTATCAACTTGGACACAAAACGAATATGTTCAAATGACCAATTATTCTCAATTAATAATACAAGACAATTCATATTTATATTTTCTTGGTCAATTTAATGCATATGATAACGTTAAGGTTGTTATGAATCAGTTTGCGATCATTAAAACATCACATTTTTTAAATTTTCAAAATTACTCTGAATTTATTCTGAATGATAATTCAACAGTTGTTTCAACTGATAATTTCGATTTAAATCATTCTACCTTAATTATGAACTCATCATCCAAAATAAATAAATTAAGTGGTTTATTTCTTTATAATGAAGCACATGCAACACTGAACGATAATTCTAAAATGGATATTGGTTCGTTTGAGGTAGATATTGAAAAATCGTACTTGATTTTAAATATGTATTCAAAAATCAATATAATAGCAAACTTTATTGTTTACAAAGGAGGTGTTGTGACTTTAAACGGAATAACAGATTCAGCACAAATAACTACAAATTCAATGCAATTTGGAAATTGTTTATCATATTGTAATGATGTCGATTATTATCAGTATACAGCTGTACTTAATGTGACTGGAAAGTCGTTTATCAAAGTTTATAAAAAAATTGTATTTATAAATTCAACTATGGTGGTGATTAACAAGGATATTAGAGATCTTCCTGTTGTTCATTATATGGGTTTAGAAGTTTTAAATATAACAAACTCAACAATACAATCAAATTT